ACATACAGCTTAAAGGACAACATAAACACTTCCTATTCTCACATCTAACACACATTTATACATTCAGTAGAACTGTGCACAGCTACATAAAGCGTACTGTGTAAAAGTCTTAGTAATCAAAGAAAATTGTTTGAAAATCTTGTCACTAAGTATGTTTTACCAGTAAACACTATATAACATTGAAATAGATACAACTAAACATAAAAACAGCAAAATGTAGCAAGAATAGAAGAAGATAGTTAGAAGAAATTGGTTTGGTTCCTGACTTCTTGCTGCATTTCAGTCATTACATGGATTTTTTGAATTCCATCAGCAGCACCTGATTTAACTTAATGGATGGTTGATTAGCTGAAGCAAGTATTGGATGAACTATAAATACTGGACTTCCTTGAGGAGAGCACTGGAAATGGTTAAGCTAACACAGGCACATATATCAGATCATTATCACAGTTCAATTAGCGCAGCTGATGAATGTAGGAAACCAACCATATTTCATATTTTAGGCATGTCCCCAAGCTCAACAGAATGCTGTTTTGAGGGTTTAGAAACTTGGCATTAAAGCCAAGTTAAATTCGCTTTTAAACTTTTTAACCAATTTAGTACGAAATAGTAAAATGTAAATTGTGGGTGTAGTAATACTGCTGACTGGCTTGAAATGAATAAATACAAATTAAAAATCAATATAATGGTGTATTAAGATCAAAGCCTGTCATAATTATGAAATTGTATATCACAATTAATTGACATATAAATAAAAACAATTCATTACAATTAAATGAACGTCTTTTTTTGTTCATGCATGCATTATAATACAAAAATAAGTGGCAAACTAGCTAATTTGCTATCTTGTTCCCTAGCTATCTTTACTTAGTGGCTCCCAAATGAAGACAGACATAACTCAAACTCAAATAAACAAACAGTGCTCTCCACCGCCCTCTAAAGGTGTTACTGTTTTTGATCAATGACATGTTTAGATGCTTTCTTTTACTTCCATGCATTTGCCTCAACCCAACAGATGATTCACAGTCTGTTTCTTGTGGCATAAAAGTATGAAATCTAATAGTTTTTGAAAATGTTTAAGGTCAGCTTTAATAATTTCAATCATCTCAAATATTTGTGATCAAGCAATAATGCAATAATGTTGACAGGTCTATCAACATCACGTTACACTAATATAGATAGATATAGAGTAGTGTGAACTGTCAAATGACATGCTTTGTTGATTTTCCAAGTGAAAATAAGTTGCCATGTTGATCCTCCACAGTGAACAGGCTAAAATACAGAATTTTCGGCACATTTCAGTGTGTAATTTCAATTAATTTGCTGAGTTTTACATATTGGAAAAAATAATTAAACATATCAACCTTTTTAATTATAAAATCAGTATCCAATATATGACATAGACTGTATTTGCTCTCTTTCCACCGAATTTTAATGAACTTTGCGCACATTAACATTGGTTACAAATGACTGCCAAATTGTCTGTAAGATTAACTAACGACACATAGTTTCAGTTGAGAAGGAGTTGGAGAAATGTAATTGAGTTCTGTGGTAATTTCTGATATTTGCCAAGACATTTTTAGCAGCTGCCCTGCTGAGGTATCTCTCCCTGTCAGTGAGCTCTAACTTGCCACCCCTCTTGTTCCTCTTTCCTAAGGCGTTTTTTTTTTTCCTTGTTTACTGCACTGCCGGGAGTTTTCACACTGCTCCCCATGACACAATAAAAGGTTTCAGCTATTTCAGTGACTGACACTGCTGCAATTCAGGCCCCAGCAGTCTGAGCACTTTCACAACCTGCTGAAGATCTAATGTAGCTTTGGGATATTGGTGTTGATTTTAAAATCTCTTTTTCCCACAAGAACATACTGCTGGATGTCATTAAACCTAATAAGACGCGTTTACTGCTTTTTATAGTTGTCAAACGTGCTTTGAAACGAGGCTCCAGTTTAATTTTGTGTTTGTCTGATCATGTGACTGCCTTCATAGATGCACACAGACAGACACAGTAGAGAATATATCTTTCAGTCAGATAAAGGGAAATGCATCTCAACAGCATGCAAAGAACCATGACATGCTATACTCTGTGGACCTAAACTTAGAGGAAGCAAGAAGAAGTCTTCAACAGACACTGTGTTGCTCCTAACAGCTAAATATGGCAGTAAGTCTGTTTTCCATGAATCATCCTCCCCAGTAGAATTTGTTCGAAATGTATAAAACATTCTTTTCAAAAGGAAGCTGTTTAAAAGGGCCCGTATCCTATATTTTTCTTAGATTTTATTTTCCTTTGAGGCCCACTTATGTGTGTCGGGTTTATGTAGCACAAACAGTTGTAATTCATATTTACTAGATTTACCAGATATAATTTTCCAGGAAATTATGTGCTTTTTTGAAATGGCCAGCGCTGTCCCCAGCAAATTCTGAAACAATTTGAAAGCATATACTGTGTTGAAAATGTTCTCAGAAATAGCCTGTTAAAACCTGCCTAAAGGGGCACTAAGACCATGCAGAGGATAAGCATCTTCTCTAGCTGGTCATTCCTCATCATTATACTAATAGGCCTACCTGTACTGTACTGGTGCCTGCTGTGTCCAGTCAGATGTACCCAGCTTAATCTGGGCCTTCTGGGGCTCAGTTTCACCAGTATCGGTTCTGGCTAGCACCGCTGCAGTGCTGGGTGTGGATTTATAAATGATATCAGACTAGCAGGTTAGCCTATCGCACTTAGCATTCTAAATGTATTTACCCAACATAGGGATTTAGCCTGTTAATATTAACCTGAGAAGCAATGTTTAATCCAGCACATTAGTAGCTGGTACACTCTGCTGTCACCCACGCCCACAGCATACCTCTCATTGCTAATTTAGAATTCAACAGGACAGCACAAGCCCAACTCAGCAGTTGTTAGTCAGCGAGGAAAAGAACTTAGCTGCTACTGATAGTCTAGGATTATACTGAAACAGATTAACAGACTTATGTTGATTCCTAAGTAATTTTGCTAATCAACTTTAGCTAATGTTAATCTGTCCTGAACAACAACGTTAATGCCATTTCTTGTCAGTTTAGCCATTCAGGCTAGCATATTAGCTATCCCTCAAAGCTCAGCTCCATAATGAGGTAATAGTTTTTTTTCTTTTTTATAGGTACTTGATGGAGAGTGATGTAATAGGGAGTGAGAATTAGAATATGAATTAGCCACTGACCTGTCTTCACTTCAGCTAATAAAAACTAGCTAACTAATCCTAATTTAGCATGTTAGTCAGTGTTAACTTGTGATCCTAGATCAGCCACTGGTGTTTTTAGCTTTTCTAGCTTTTGCTGTGATTCCTGCTGTTGTTGTAGATGTTAAGATCTTTGGTTTAAAATGATATACCTTGTTTAACAGGACAAAGAATTGCAAAAATATGGGATTTCTGGTTAATAGCACATGCTTTGGGGCTATATGGCAGTGTTAGTGAATATCTGCAGTCACTTTAAGGTGAGAACCACATATAATATTCATCAAGAAACTGTAACACCAAACCAAGCTCTTCTTCTATCTCTTATGTGCATGAAAATACGATAAGCAAATACAAATTTTCTCAACATAAGTGAACCATCCTAAGACTTATTTAATCTTTCATATACTCTTTTAGTATATCAATCTATTATTCCACTTATATCATCAACAGTGAAAGTAGAATGGTCGACCTTCAATTAAATGTGTAGCCTTTCGGACTTTGTCAGCACACCTATGAATAAATAAACAAATAATGATTGTACTGTATGTATGTAAGTCCATTTAAAACCACATTGCAACTGTCAACCTCAATCATTCATAGCATCCTCTCACTCTTCTAGTAAGCACAGCACCAACTGTACTTCCTTTCCCTCTCATTCTCTGTCTCTCTCTTCCTCCAGCCTACCTATCTCACACACACATGAACAAACACCAGTGGAGAGTGATATTAGGTTAGCTGTTCAATAATATTACGCCATAATCCCTCTATTCAGTCTGGATGAATAGGGAGGGTGGGCAGACAAGACAGTGAGAGATGGGGTACAGGAGTGGAGCACTGAGGAAAGAAGAGCGAATGGGGGATGGAGTGCTTCACTTGAAGAGAGAATGAAAGGAAAAAAGGCTGAATTGTTGCCAGAGGCTAACTAAGCTGGCTTCCACTGCAGCCTGCATCACTCCTAAACCAACCTCTATATGCCAGATATACAGACACACACAAACCACATTTATTTTACATTCTGTCCCCCTCACAGGTGGAGAACCCCAGGAACAGAGCCACTAATCCTGCAGACCATCAAAGCCAGTGTATCTTCAAAGCCTCTTCCCAGAATGTTGCTGAAATACATACGGCTATTCCCCTCTGTGACCAAATGACATTATATTTTTCCAGTCCAACTATGGGATGCAATTTAGTCCATGCTGAGTGAGCAAATGACTTCGCATTTTTCCAGTATGGTCATTACAACCAGCATTATTGGTTTTAAAACAAAACTCCAGCATAGCCTGTACAAGACCACAACCATTATATGCCATTTAAACCAGGCTTCGCTGAAACCAATGTAGTGTCCTTACAGCCTTTACATTACCACTGAACCACCATGATTGTCTGCTGTTACCTGCTAATACCAGCAGGCCACCATTAGTGCTTAATGCAATTCACAATGATCTCTATCTGCTTGTAGGAAGCAAATGGGCTGTCAGTCAAGAGTCAGATTTCTCCGAAGATCCTTTCTTTTTTTCCTCCCTTTCTTTCTCGCTTTCTCTAATGGAGTCTGTATGCTCTGACACCACTGCCTTAAGCACTGCCTTCAGCAGCCTAGCATAACAGACCTTCAAGATAATTGTACTGCAGTAAAGGGTTAGCAAAACCATTTTGACCTGATTTGACTCGATCCTCATGACCTTAATAGCCCTCGCCTCGCTTCCTCTTTCTCCTCTATTTCTCCCCACCTCCTCTCCTCCACCCATCCCACTTTACTACCCCCTCCCCCTCTCTGTGACTTACCAGTGACAGTGATGAGCATAGGGGCCACCAGCGGGCGGTTGTTGTCCAGTTTGCGGCTGAGTCGGATCTCTCCGCTGGTGTGATTCAGCAGCAGCAGGTGAAGATCATTGCCTCGGTCAATGGTGAAGTAGAGACGGTCTGTTACATCCGGGTCATGGGCTGGAACACGCCCAATGACTCCACTTGGGAATGTATTGGAACGGTTTGACACAAAGTTATTGAAAATGATCTGGAAGTCCTGCATCTCAGGCCTGTTGTCATTTTGATCAACGAGCCGGATTCGCACTGTGGCTCGGCTTACGAGAGGCGCCGACGTGGCCTGTACCACAATAACATACTCATTGCGTGTCTCGTAGTCCAGGTCGATTAGAGATGTAAGCTCTCCAGAAAAGATGTCCATTTGGAAGATTTCAGGAATGTTACCCTCCACAATTTGGTACATGATCTGAGCGTTAGGGCCTTCATCTGGATCTGTCGCAGTGATCTGTGCGACGACAGAGCCAACAGCACTGTTCTCTTTCACTTGAACCTCAAAGTCATCGGCAGGGAACACGGGAGCATTGTCATTAACGTCCATCACGCTGACCTGGATGTGCACGGGCGTGCGCTGAGGTGGAACACCACGATCCACAGCGAACGCTGTTAGCTCATAGAATGGAACACTTTCTCGGTCCAGGCGACGCACTGTGCGGACTATTCCAGAAGTAGGCTCAATTGTGAAATCACCATCTCCATCCTCGCCATTCTGGAAGGTGTACTGCACACGTCCATTAGCATGAGCGTCACGATCAGTGGCAGAGATTTGTAGAACACTGGTGAAGGGTGGGGCATCTTCACTGACTCCACCTTGATAGCGTGGACTGAGGAACTGTGGGGCATTGTCATTCACGTCATTTACGTTGACCTCCACATAGGTTGTGTCAGATTTCTGCGGAATTCCATTGTCGCGAGCTGTGATGGCGAGAGTGTACGTCATCTGGTCCTCATAGTCCAGCTCAGCCTGGAGTGTGATGGCGCCTGTTGCGGGATCAATGCGGAACTGCGGAATATTGTCCTCCAGGAAGTATGTGATGCGCGCATTCTCTCCTACATCCTCGTCGGAAGCGCTGATCACCACCACGGTGCTGCCGGGAGGCCTGTCCTCATTTACACTTATAGAATAATGAGCGCTTTGGAACACAGGCCGGTGTGTGTTAGCATCTGTGATGTTCACGTGCACCTGGCAGGTATCATGAAGGGTTCTATCAGAGGCAGTGACCGTTAGCACGTAGCGTCGCTCTTGTTTGTAGTCAAGTGGCAGTGCCAGGGAGAGAAGCCCAGACCCACCAGCTGTGCTGATTGCGAAACGGTTGCGTGTGTTACCGCCTGTGATCTGGTAGGTGACAGCACTGTTCACATCACGGTCAACTGCTGTTACGCTAACAACACTCGTTCCAACTGCAGCATCCTCATTCAGTCGAACAAAGTACTCCTTCTGCAGGAACTCTGGGACGGTTATCGTTGACATCCATCACAGTAATAGTAACACTTGCAGTGGCAGATAGAGGTGGGGCACCATAATCCCTGGCCTCAACACCAAAGAAATAGTGCTCCACTGACTCTCGGTCAAGCTCTGAACTCACTGTGACCCAGCCAGTAGCAGCGTTAATGACAAAAGGTGTGTCTGTACCAGTTCCTGTTAACCTGTACTCCAGACGTGCGTTATCACCACTGTCAGTGTCAATGGCCTGTATGTGCAGTATGGAGTGGCCAATAGGGGCACTTTCAAGTACTGTTGCCTGGAATGGTGTAGATACAAAGATTGGTGGATTGTCATTGACATCAGTGACTTGGACACTCACTATTCCCGTGTTGTTAGAAAGAGGTGGGCGGCCATTATCTTGAGCACGCAGTCGTAAGGTGTACTCCCGTTCGGTCTCGTAGTCCAGTGGTGCCACCACCTGAATTTCTCCAGTAACGCTATCAATAGCAAACTGCCCTCGGCTGTTCCCACTGATGATATTGTAGTGCACGGCAGCATTTCCATCTTTATCCTCATCAGAAGCACTGACGCGCAGGATTTCTGAATGTGGTCGCACGTCCTCTCGAACTGCCACCACATAGCGCTTCTGGCTGAACTGCGGAACATTATCATTCTCATCTAAAACGGTTATGTGAACGTTAACAGTGGCTGACCGTGGGCCTGGCTCCCGTCCTTGATCGCTCGCCTCCACCTGTAGGGTGTAGCGTTCATTCACCTCTCTGTCAACAATACCTCGAGTGGTGATCAGGCCTGATCGTGGATCAATTTCAAAGGCAGAGCGTGCAGCAGCCACACTGTCTCCAACAAACCGGTAACGGATGTTAGCATTTGATGGGGAGTCAAGATCAGTTGCACGCAGCTGCAAGATTGGATATCCTTCTTCTACATTTTCTCGAATCGTTTCGCGATACTCAGTTTGTTCAAAAATCGGGGAGTGATCGTTTCGGTCAGAAACAGTGATAGCCACCATTGTTGTTCCAGATAGACGTGGCGAGCCATGATCTGTAGCTGTCACTCTGAAGTAATGCAAGTCCATGTGTTCTCTGTCCAGTATATGTGTGGTTGTGATTAAGCCGGTTATTGGGTCGATATGGAAGTAATCCATGGATCTGCTGTTCATTAAGGGGGCCATGCTGTAGCTGAGTCTGCCTGCCTCTCCGGCATCTGGGTCCTCTGCTAACATTGATATAACTGATGTACCAGGAGGCTGATTTTCTGCCACCTGAACCTGGTAGTTATACTGAGGGAAATGTGGGTGTCTATTAGCAGCTCTACGAGAACGTCCAACAGGAGAGACACCTGTCTGCTCTTCAAAGTATTCGTCATCCTCTATCTCCTTACCTTCATTACTTTCTTTCTCTGTTTGTTTCATGACTTGAGTGTCAACATTCATTTGCGTGCTGTCTACCCAGCCTCCGCTGTGTTTTGAGTCATCTTGCCCTGCCTGTGTTTCCTTGATTTCCTGCCAGTCTTTGTTCTCATCTCCTCCTGCTCCCTCACTATCAGACTCTCTCTGTGTCTGTGAGGTGCCTCCACCTTGACCTCTTCCCCCCTCTCTCAGTAAATTTGTGTCTGCCTCCAACGCCTCTCCCTTTGTGTTTTCTGCAAATCACCCACTCGCTCTCTCCCTCTCCAGCCTGCATGTTACCCTTCCCCCTGCTCCTCTCTTCCTCCCACCCCTCTCCTGCCACCTCTCCCTCCCTCCCCTCTGGCCCTGCGGCCCCCAGCTGCTCCTCGCGCTGACTGACAGCCTCGGCTTGCAAAGACACTCCTTTACCGGATTTTAATTGCGGCCGCGTGGCTCCCCCGTTGGCGGCTAAGCTGTTGCTGTTGATGCTGTCAGCGCACGCTGGGTGTGGAGTCTCCGCCGGGACGGAACCCCGTTGTGCATGAACACGTGGCTCGAGCAAGTCGTCATCTTCATCAGTTGGAACACTTTGCGTTTCATTTATATCCTTGTCATCGTTGCTGCTGTTGACTTGGTTGCAGTTCTCATTTTTGTTGTTGTTGTTGTTATTATTGTTATTAGCGTTCCACAAAAACACATTTCTAACGGAGGAGCTGGGGTCGGGAGCTGTCCAAGGAGCGCGGGGTGCTGACTCTCCCCGCGCGCCGTCCTCTTTGTTAGCCCAAGGCACAACACTCCCTGCATGAGCGCGTGAGTCACCGGATCGTTTGGTAAAGTTTAGTTCGACCGAGAAGTGGGTGTGCGGCCTGGTGTGAGTAACGGCACCGGTAAGTGGTGAGTCAGAGAGATGGATTTCACCGCGTTCAGGGTCAGACAGGCACGTGACGAGTTTGGATGTTAGAGGATAATTTGTTTCTCCCTCATCTGCGCCGCGAGATCCATGCCCTCTGGAAATTGTGGAGCCGGCTGGTTTCAAACCACGTGAGAATTCTCGAGCATGCTTTTGGCTAAACGCTTCACTCTCCTCGCAGAAACGCGCATTGAGCTCGGTTATGTTTATGCATGACGATGACAATAAACTGTTGGGACAACACGCGATGCTTTTGCGCTCTCTGGACGTTCTAATGCAAACTGTGAGTGCTACGCCTACGGACCGCTTCGGCGAGGTACTGGTGCATGTTTCAGAACAAACCTCGTGCACGGCAGCGACCCCACTAATCCGGTGTGACTCCGCACAGCTGTCTGCGCTCACAGAAAGGTACTCGCGCTCCCCACACCTCCAAGTATTCCCAGCGGCCGTATTAAAGGAGCCATTGCAGCCCTCTCTGCTGGGATCGATAACATTGAGGAGGCCTGAGGAGCGACCGGCCGCGCTCCTTTTGTCCACTTTCTTGGCGTCCGAAACGCCGGCAGCCACATTTGAATAATAATGAGAATTGTCTTTTGAGAGCGACCGCGCCTGCACGTTGCCAGCTGTGAACTCCCGTCTCGCGTGGCACGAGCCGCGCTGGGGCCCTGTTCTCCAAGCGCGGGCGCTCCCTTTATCCAAACGGGGGTCGAAACCCGCGCAGCCCCGTCCCCGGTAGCCGCCTCGCGCACAGACCCGCCCGGTGTGAGGGTGAGTGTGTGGCGGCGGCGAGCGCGCTCTAGTCCTTTGTACGGCCCTCTTTTTCCAGTTCCGAAGCGGGGGAGCAGCGAGGAAAGAGGAGAAAACAACGCCCTTCTGCACGCCGCCAGCGCTTCCCCCCGCGAGCCGCTGCCGGGAGCTACTTTTGGTCCGCGGCGCCGGTTCTGATGTGTGTAAACGCTCGTAATCCACCGGAGGCGGGCCCACGGCGGCGCTTCCCGCTGCTCTGGAGCGCGTGCCTGGTCCGGAGGTCGCAGTTTCTAATCCAGATCCAATAAGCCACGCTAATGTCCGTGCAGGGCGGACGTCCAACTCGCCCCCAGCCAAAGCCCCCGGTCCCGTAGCAGTTGCGTGGGTCTGACTGGCGCTGCGCGTGTCTCCGGGGGCTGGGTGGGAGCGCGCGGCGCGGCGGCACGGCCCCGCCGCCCTGCACGGGACAGCGGCGAACAAAGAGCAGAGGAGAAGGTGGAGCAGCAGCAGCGGCGGCGACGGTGAGCTCAAGCCCAGCAGCAGTGCAGCCATTAGTGTAGAGCGCCTTTCTCTCCCCCCTCTCTCCGACTCTCCCTCTCTCTCTCACTCTCTCCCTTCCTCTCTCTCTCCCGACGCCGGCTAGGTCGCCAGCTCCTCCGCCACCGCCCGACTCCTTCCGCCGTGCTCCCCGCTCTCTCGGCGGTCCCGAGCAGCTCGCATTTACTCTCGGCGTTGGGCAGAGCTCGCGCTAGCAGCGGAGGCACGGGCGCAGCATCTTCCTTTCTCACTCACATCCAACATGGCTCACAGCGGAACCCGGTGCTACTAGCGTTCCTCCCCCCTCTGCTCCCTTCCTTCTCCCCTCCTCCTCCTCCCTCGCAGTCTCTCTCTCTCTCTCTCTCTCTTCCTCTGTGTCGCTTTCTCGCTCACTCACTCTCGCTCTCTCACCACACAAGGACTCTCTCTCTCTCTCTCTCTCTCTCTCTCTACATCTCCCCCTCTCTCTCTGGCTTCCTCTATATCGCTCACTCACTCTCACCACACACAGATTCTCTCTCTCTCTCTCTCTCTCTCTCTCTCTCTCTCTCTCTCTCTCTCTGATGAGCAGAATAGTCCATTCCAGTGAGCGCGCAGGGCTATTTCCACCAGCCGCCATATCCGCCCCTGTAAAGCAACATGAAACGTTACCACATGACAATATGACTTACACAAATATTATATTAAATAGTTCCACCATATGGAATATTAAATAGAATAAAGAAAAAATGAATCCTGATCTAAGATGTAGAAGAAAGTAGATTAATCATGATTGAAAATATGCTAAAATAAAATCAACACTGGACTATTAATGAGGGACAATTATGAACGTTAATATTAAACGTCTATCGCATTTTAAGACCCCCCTGTTGAGGCTATAAGTGTATTGGAGAAGCTCGTGGGCCTCGTGGCTTTGTGTTGTTACTGAAGCATATTCAGCCCGGGTTCACCTCTGACGTCATGTCTTATCCACAGAGCAGTGGGCAGGCTATCAGTGTAATTATTATCATTATTATTAATGAACTCATGCAGACATACATTTTTTAGCACACCACATTCTTTTATACTAATACTACAGATAATAATAATAATAATAATAATAATAATAATACAGCTTATTATTCTTTATTGGCTAATTGTAAAGCTGTATAGAAGAATATATTCCTATGTTAAAATGAAGACCATATTGATTTACAGTCTGGTATAAGAAAGCATAAAAAAGGATTAAACCGAATAAAAAAGGAAGTAAAGATCTCATTTGAAAGGGCTAATCTGCTTTTCCGCTCGGCTCTATGAATGTTCAGCAGGAATGTCCTGATCATATTGTGGTGCTGTTTGTTTTGCACGTGAGTTCATGTTTTTTCCAGGCATGCATTTCCCGCTCCGCTACAAAAACCAATCTGTGTCTGGCACAGTGTGGCTCGCGCTGACACGGCTGGACCGAATCCACGGATGTTGAAAAATTCATACGGCTCAATTATACCAGACACACACACGTGCACAGAGATAAGGCACCCTCGCGCCCACGGTTCTCGTGCTCTCTTGTCTGAGCTGAGCAGAGCTGACTGCTGGTTTTGGACTCGCGCGCACTCCGTCTAAATGTACTGGCGAAGCAAAAAAAAATAAAAAAAACCCCATCAGAATCCTCGCAGTTGTTGGAGGCACATTAAGCAGGCTTCATGTCTAGCTATAAGCGCTTTGTGTGCGCGTGTCTGTGTGTCTAGACTGTTCTCTTGTTGGCTTGATGGTATTACATCATACAGTCATGGCAACCTAAATCACATTAGGAGGGAAGAGGCGGGAATCCCATAAAAGCGCTTCCGTAATAAGCCTTGTCTTTTCAATCGACTGGCAATTTGCAAAGCTGATCAAGCTGCCTACGAATCATCTCCGCCACGTTCAGCCTTAATCCACTGAGCACTCCGCAGGGGAACGCAGTCATCTTCAGGCGTGTTCACCATTCTCCAATGCGCGCAGGTTCTTCCATTAAGAGTGTTAAACACGGGTAGATCAATTTTTATTCACTTCCAAGGCCTCAGCTTCAGCTAAGAGTAGGGTAGATATTAAAATTGCCCAGTTCCTCAAACATTCATTTTTGAGCAACATTATTGTTTTGGAACCTGTTCTTGAAGCTTAAGGATACATGTAATCACAACGTGTTTACATCAGTGGTCACTGATATTCATACTGGAGACTGGAGGTCCACTTTTCCTGCAGAGGTTCTGCTGAACCACTGCTGCCCCCATCCACACACACACACACACACACACACACACACTCCTTAATTTATCTCCCAAAAGTAAAACATCTTTATATCCAGACAAGAACTTCTGAAGACATTAATTAGCTCACTGTGGACTGCAGGACGGTGGATATCCAGGAGCAGGGTTGGTGACCACAGATCCACATGATCACTGCGCTTTATATAGGGAGGATGTTCTTCAGAAGCTTCAGGACCTTGGACAGCACCAGTACACTTAAAGAGCCCATATGCTACATGTTTCCTGAACTTTATTTGGTGCCCCTGAGGTCCACGTTTAACTGGTTTTATGTACCAGTCATAATTCTCTATGTTTTCCCATAGAATTAAACAGCAACCAAACAGCTTTTGTTACTCTGCCTTTAAGACTGATATATGTAACTGATGTGTGTTCTGATTGGCTGTATGGAGCCCTGCTGATGACATCAGATAAAAAAACAAAGGCATGGGAACAAGATAATTTAGTTTTGGCCACAAGTTAGTAAGGTGTGGGAACAAGATAATTAAGTCATGGCCATGACTTAGTCAGGTGTGGGAAAAAGATCCTAATGCATGTCCACAACTTAGTAAGGCACGGGAACGAGACCATAATGCGTGGCCATGACTTAGTTTGATCTCGTTCCCATGCCTTACTAAGTCATGGCCATGACTTAATTATCATTATTCCCATGCCTTACTAACTTGTGGCCACAACTTAATTATCTCATTCCCATGCCTTACTAAGTCATGGCCGTGCATTAGGATCTTGTTCCCATGCGTTAATAAGACGTGGCCACGCATTAATTTTATTTATATGGGATGTCAACAGCAGGGCTCCGTATGGCTGCCCTGTATTGTGCCTTATTCAAAAAGCAGCTTGGGCTGAAACACT